AGTGCTGGGATTCAAGAAAAGAGACACAAACTTGTGCATATACCAAAGAAGTTTGAAGAGTTTGGAGGTCGAGATGATGCACCTCCATCTCTGCATCCATGTTTGAAAGCTGCATCACGACGGTAGCTACATAGTTATCAGCACCTGCAACGTTACCACGGCAACTCATGCAGATAGGTTGATGATGTCTTGACACACAAATCCAATCTGATTACTTGCAAATAACAGTGCAGACAGTCATGTCAAAAAATCTCAATTGAGTAACAAATCTGATTTGCCTGCAGTCTGAATGACATACGAATGATTCCGCATCTAATTCCGGAAACAACGAGACGCAAGGATGCAGGCACAATTGATGAATCAGCATAAGTGCGTGAAAACAAGTACCTGCACATGAGCACCTTAGTTAAATATCGTTTGCAATGGACACTCCTCAATCCGCCCTCATATACACATAATTTGCACGAAGCACCACCTAATTCATGCAGACGTTTTGATTGTGAGCCAATAAAACAAAGTCTGGGGTCATGCCCGAGGTGCAGTGCTCCCCCTACTGGCCAGAACTTAAATAGATTTACAGTGTTAAAATTACAACAATGCAAAAGGAGTGATGTATTTTAAGGAAATATATATTTACTTTGGCAGCATTTTAATATCAATGTGCACATAAAAAAATCTGATTCAACTTTAGTACAAGTATTACTGTAATTATTGCGAGGTCATTACTTTTATCATGATCATTTTTGGTGGTTATTTTTCTATTATTGTTGATATTATTGATGTTAGTGACAATAGCTATACACAGCTTTGATAAATAAGGGGCCATTTTGTTTGTGGAGTCATTGCAGAGATCGAATGTTCCCAAGATTATGCATAAATATATAATAATATAATATATCAGAAGCTGCTTCAGCATCTGCCCATTGACCTCTATTATAAGTGAGTTTTGAATGATTTGTTTTTGTGTGTTTTCTGTTTCTTTCTAAGAGAAATTTGTTGAAATGATCATCTCTGATAATCAATCATATGCGGCAGATGTAGCAGATAGATGTGAGGCTGAAAAACACCGGAGTTTTCCTTTAAAGTCAGGGCTGGTTGGTAGGCAGGCTTTCCTCGCAAAGACAGCAATACAGTCCTATGTGTACATGTGAGAGAGCGTACGAGAGTGAGAGAGGTGTAGAATGAGTAGGTCAGAGACAACGTGGGTGTCCTGCGTGCCTAAAGAGAATAGCATATGCTGTGGCTGCTGATGCTGAGATTTATTCTCTCTTTCTTCTGTGAGAAATTCAAAGGCAAACTTTCCCAGAGTACCAAAGCTAATGCCGAATTCTTTCTGAAATGAACGGAGCTGAAGGATAATGAAGAACGACAAATTACTCCATTTAGAGATAATGAAAAAAGACAAATTTCTCTTGGACAGGGCTGCACTTCAACCCCAGCTGCAGAGGAAATGGCAGCATGTTCATGCCTGAGGAACTGTGAGGGTTTCTATCCCACTCCTGCTTCATTTTAGCTTTTTGCCATTAATGTAAGCTGGCGTAAAAGTTTTCATTTAACCCTGTAAACTGTAAAAAAATCCGGAATGACATACAAATGATTCCGCGTCTAATTCCGGATACAAGAAGATTAATGAATCAGCAGAAGTGCATGAAAACAAGTACCTGCACATGAGCACCTTATTTAAATATCATTTGCAATGAACACTCCTCGATTCGCCCTCATATACACATAATTTGCATGAAGCATGACCTAATTCATGCAGAATGTTTTGACTGTGAGCCAACAAAATAAGCCAATAAAACAAAAGCCTTCAGTTTGGGGTCATGCAGGAGGTGCACTGCTCCCCCTACTGGCCGTAAATAGTTTTACAGTGTTAAAATTACAGCTATGGAAAAGAATCAGTGTATTTTAGGGAAGTAGATATGTACTATATCAACGTCTACTTCATTTCAGCTTTGTGCCATTAGTGTAAGCTGGTGTAAAAGTTTTTATTTAACCCTATAAACTCTAAAAAAGCTTGTGGATGACAAGTAAAGGAGCAACATAGCCTACATACAATACTAGCACATCATGACACTTTTGCTTTTCTGATAGTGATAATGAAACCTACACCAGTGAACCAAAACATTACGACCTCTCACAGATGAAGCAAATAATGAGTACGTACTTATGGATGGCTATGGCATCGCTGGGGCTCAAACTCAAAACCTCCTGTTGGGGTGACGGCTTAGTCCGCTGCACCACTCAGGAACACGTGAAGCAGTTAAAATGAATGGAGAAAATATTTGTTGTTTTAACTTTAATGCATGGCCTAGAATTCAGACCTAGAAACAGTAGCTGGGAGAGTCCTTGACTCAGCTAAGAAGTTTGAGTTGGGTGAACACAAGTTGAGGTAACTCAAGAAAAGCCATGTAATCAGTTACTGTATCATTTTACGTTGAGCAGACCTCTCATTTTTTACAGTTTGAAATAGGTAAAAAAACAGTATCCAGTCTATCAGGCTATCGAATATCCCTCAGGCATGTCTGAGCATGTTTGGAGCTTTACATTCAAAATATGTGCACATGGCAAATGCTGAAACCTGAAGGTAGCGGCTGATTGCTAAGCAGTTTGCTAGCAACGGCTGCTAAGCAGTGATTGGAGG